GGTGCGGGCGCGACACTGAGGGTTGCGATCCGTTGTCGGTCACGAAAAAAGACAAAAAGGAAAAAAAAAAAAAACCACTTCCAGATAAGACTATGCCCAAAGGGTTCTATGGTTAAAAATAATTTTTAAGCCAACGATCCAGAATAACACACATAAGCAACTACAGAAGTGTTAAACTGTATAATGACCAACTATTAAAAGTAGGAAAATATTGGGCCGGCCCAGTGGTGCACTCGGTAGAGTGCGGCGCTTGGGAGTGTGGCGGTGCTCCTGCCGAGGGTTCAGATCCCATATAGAGACCGGTCCACTCACTAGTTGAGCACGGTGCGAGTGCGACACCGAGGGTTGCGATCCCGTTGCCGGTCGCGGTACGGGTGTGACACCGAGGGTTGTGATCCCGTTACCGGTCACGAAAAAAGACAAAAAGGGAAAAAAAAAAAAGTAGGAAAATATTAACAAGAATATTTACTAAACATGTACTATGTGCCTGGTACTATGCCACACATACATGTACATACACACACTAACTTTTTTTTCCCTCTCATTTAACTTTAATGCTCAAGAGTAAATAAACTAAATTTTAATTTACTGGTTAGCTAATATGCCAATTTATGGTAAATTTTCACCCTAAAAGCTTTCAAATGTAACCAGTACTTACTTCTGAATCTTCAGATAGGCCATTGCTCTGTTAGCTGGAAGAAGGGCATTAGCGCCATCTGCTGCTATTCCTCTAGTATAGCATTCAATTGCTCTTTCATACTTCCCCTCTTTGAAAAATCCATTCCCCTATTATTTTGGAGAGAAGTATGGAGAAGAATCAAGAAATATTCAACTGAATTCAAATCTTAAGAAACACTACAAGCATATTCATCAGTATTATACCAGTAATTAAAATATATTTTAATTGTTAAAAATCTAGTCCATGTTTTAAAATCTGTTTGGGTTGGTTTTTATAGTGATTTTATTCCCTTTTCAAAACTATAAAGGAAAAATATGTATGCTACTATATTATATTACTTTACAGCATTCACGATTATTCTACTAACTAAATATTATACAAAGCTTAAATTTAAAAACACATTTTAATAAAGGCCCAAATAATATACTAAGTCTTTAGTACATTAGAAGCTGTACAAAATAATTTGTAACTCGAATAATTTTTGTGAAAGAATACAGTGGCGAAACTGTATAACCCACTCTTCAGTAACATTAATAAGCCTAAATATAGGATAAATTGAATTGTATTGAAATGTGTATGCCAGATTTCATTGTAACATTTATTTATAATCAGTCAGACATATCACAACCAGTAATGATTCCACACGTATTTAGGGGTTCATGAAAGGCTAAAAATATAAAAATTAAATCTCAACTCAGGATTTTAAAGGAATTTCAATCAGAAATGGTGCAGTGTGAATTAATTTTAAAAAATACATTATAAGAATGAAATGTAATTTATTTCTATGTTAAATTTATAACCATCTGTATGTAATATATGTTGAAACACTTGAAAGTAGTTTGTTCCCTAAACAAACATTTCTATAATTATGTTTTCTAAAAATTTATGTATTGTCATCAATTACTCAAATTTTGAATTAGTAGGCTCCAGAGGTTTTAATGTATTTAATTCCAGCTCCTACTAAAGAGAATTTTAATATTAGAGAAGACAGAAACCTAACTGACATACACAAAACTACAAGTAATACACTCAGCAAAACATATACATTATATGTTGGAATCCCTTTGGATTACCAGATCTTTCTCTGAAATAGCCTGCTGCTTATTCTGTTGTTCTTCAATTTGTTTTTTCTCTCCTTCAGTTGGCTTAATCAATATGTCATCTTCCTTTGGGTATGAGTTTTCTTTGGATGTTAAAGCCTAGGAGACATAGCAGTCAACTAAAATAAAACAAGTAATGCAAATGCATACATATTTGCTTTTAAATGTAAATTACTCAAATATATGAGAACTTCTGCCACATTTCAAATTAATACTTGAAATAACATTTTCTACTCTAAATCTTTCTATTAAAGTAGAAAGCAAAAAAGTATATAATAAATTTAATGTGCTTCTTATTCTAATTAAAATTAGTATCCACTATAGGTAGTTCTTCATCTATTTACTCAACAAATATTTACTAAATTTGTACATAGGCTAAGCAGTATACTAGGAGTTATTTTCAAACATAAAACAGTTAATTAAGGCCGCATCACCAAATTTAATATTCATAGTCATTATCTGACCTAAGACAAAATACAAAAATATAAAATACAGTTCACAATTCTAATCAATTTGATATCTTTACCAACAGATTTTATGTGCAATATGTAATGGTAATATTTAAAAGCACATTGTCCCCAATCATTGTCACTTTTTTCTCAATGTTTAAATGACTGCAAAACAATTATAACTATGATTCCAAGGCAAAGTGAAAGAAATACACAACTGCTCTGTATCATTAGACAAGTAATTTCATATTTAAGTAATAACTATTTTTTTTAATGTTAGTATTGTTTTCGCTAAGATACAAACTAAAAATAAAGCAAGTTAAAAGTACAAAATCAAAGAAACATGCAAAACATTTTTTTAAAGTTAAGAAGTCTACAGTACAAATTCTATGAGAAAAGGTTTACTTCATCACAAAAAGATCATGAGCAATGCACTTAATTTAAATAACCATAGTTTACCTGGTTAACTTTCCTGAGTTCATTGGATGCTTCAAAATTATTTGGTTCCAGTTCTAATACTTTTTCATAATCTAAGTAAAATAGAAGATCAAGCATTTTTGAAAGATAGATGATATCTAAAAGCCTATGAAAAACTATAATCATTTGCTGCATGTGACATATAGGCAACTATCCTATAGCAAAATAAAGGAGGATCTAAGAAATACTAACATTAGGCTACTCGACTTTCCCCGTTCTCCCCCAGAGCAAACAAAATCCTGATAGAATCCTATGACAAACCATTTTTTTCCCCCAGCCACAAGAAGGATACTTGCTATCATAAGTTGTACATCATAAAACCAAGATGCAACAAAATCCAATCAGGTATCAGCTTTATTCAGATTAGTGATTTATACCACACAAACCCATTTTATGGAATAATAAAAGGCTTAGAACTTACAAATAAACGTAATAATTTTAAGAGCTTTACATATAATACCTCTTGCCTCACAAAGCTTCACAAAAGCCAACAAGATGTTTTAATCCCTATTTTACAGATGAAAAACTTAAAATCAGAGAAGATACTGGTCACACACAGCTAATATACAGTGGAATGAGAATTTGAACCAAAGTCTGACTGGTAGCAAATAATGCATTCCTTCCCAAAACATCAAGATAACTTTTAAATTGCTAAACTGAGCTCTGTTCAAATATAGAAAGCTTTCTGAAGGTAGTGACTGTGATTACTTAGTATTCTTTGCATATTTTCTGTTAGAAAAAACTGTTAAAGAATTTTCAGAGAATGATGACATGGAAAATATAATACCTTTTTTGGCATCTTCTAATTTCCTCAAGGCAAATCGAGCAGCACCTCGTCTGGCATAAGCCTTTGTATAATTTCTATTCAAGGCAATTGCTAAATTACAATCAGACTCAGCAACAGCAAATCTGCAATTTAAAAAAGTTAAAATAAATATATAAAAATGATTTATTAAACCAAAACTTCAAAATTTGCTTCTGAAATCCCTGAAAAAAGATATTTACTTCTCACCATAAAGCATGTTATGCACCTTCTCTTATTTAATTAAGCCTACTAAAAGCAATAATTCTTAATGCAACAACAAAAGACCCTGAATAGCCAAAGCAATCCTGAGCAAAAAAAATGAATAAATAAAGTCAGAGGCATAACACTACCTGGCTTCAATTATATTACAAAGCTATTGTAACCAAAACAGCATGGTACTGGAATAAAAAAAGACACTCGAACCAATGGAACAGAACAGAAAACCTAGGAATTGACCCATATACTTACAGCCAACTGATTTCTGACAAAGACTGCAAGAACATACATTGGGGAAAAGACTGCCTCTTGAATAAATGGTGCTAGGAAAATCCATATGCAGAAGAATGAAACTGGACCCGGACCTCTCACCATATTACAAAATCAAGTCAAAATGGATTAAAGAATTAAATATAAGACCTGAAACCATAAAATTACTAAAAGAAAACATAGGGGGAAGACTTCAGGAAGTAGAACTGAGCAAAGGCTTAAGAATCCAAAAGCACAAGCAACAAAAGAAAAAATAAACAAATGGGATTATATCAAACTAAAAAGCTTCTGCACAGCAAAGGAAACAATCAACAGAGCAGAAAGACAACCTATGGTATGGGAGAAAATATTTTCAAACTATACGTCCAACAAGGGATTAATATCCAGAATATGTAAGGAACACAAAAAACTACACAATAAAAAGACAAATAATTCAATTAAAAAATAGGCAAAGGAGATGAACAGATATTTTTCAAAGGAAGATACACGAACAGCCAACAGATACATGAAAAAAATGCTCAACATCAGTAATCATCAGAGAAATGCAAATCAAAACCACACTGAGATATCATCTCACCACAGTTAGATTAGCCACTATTAAAAAGACGGAGAACAGCAAATGCTGGCAAGGATGTGAGGAAAGGGAACTCTTCTACACTGTCAGTAGGACTGTTAAATTACTACAATCATTACGGAACACAGCATGGACATTTCTCAAACAACTACAGACAGAACTACCATATGATTCAGCAATCCCACTATTGGGTATATCCAAAGGAATGGAAATCATCATGTCAAAGGGATGCCTGCACTCCCATGTTCATCACAGCTCTATTTACAATAGCTAAACTATGGAACCAACCTAAATGTCCATCAACAGACAACTGCATAAGGAAAATGTGGCATACATATACACAATGGAATACTAGTCAGCCATAAAAAAGAATGAAATTCTGCCATTCGCAGCAACATGGATGAGCTTGGAGAAAATTATGTTAAGTGAAATAAGCCAGACACAGAAAGAAAAATAACACATGTTCTCACTCATAACTAGGTGCCAAAAAAGGAAGGAAGAGGGAGAGAGAGAGAGAGGGAAAGGGAGGGAGGGAGGGAGGGGGAGGGAGAGAGATGGAGGGAGAGGGAAAGAACGAACCACAATTATACATTGAACTTTTGTAATTATGAATATGCCAATTAAAAAATTAATTAAAAATTTAAAAAATTCTTAATGGTGAAACATTAGTAGCATTCCCTTTAGTACAAGGAACAAGAATGCCCAGTATCACACTTTATTTTCCTCAGTATTATACTAGAGGTCCTTGCTGATGCAGTTCCACATGAAAGACAAGGTAAAAAGACTGGAAACAAAGAAACCAAACTGACATTATTCTCAGATGACATGAGGGTCTACACAGAAAACTCAAAACAATCTAGAAACATTGATAGAAATAAAAATTTAGCAAGGTGGCTGCTTTACTATAAACCGACAACAAAAAACACACACAAAAATCTAACAGACGTACAAGACACAGATGCAGAAAGTTGTTAACACTGTCTTCAAAGACATTGTGGGGAAAAGAGAATAATTTAGTTGGGCATCCTCGACATTTCTTGTAAACAAATTGTGTGTGGCCGGAGTTGGTGTGCATGTGCACCTATGTATCTTTCTAGTTAACTGCTATTGTGTGTTCTGCAGTTTGAAGCAGGCTGGCCACAAGAGAGCTCGTCTAAAAACAGAGCATGTTTACTCTGCTGGCAGTTGCTCAGTTTTCAGTTTTTCTTTGGACTTTGCCCATAGCAGTTGAGTTTCTGAGTTTCTCCTTTGTACTGCCTAGCTCCTAGATGTGTGTGTGCTGAATAAAAACTGTTCCTACTTCAACCAAGGCTCCAGGGACCTTTCTGCCAGTTACCTAGCTCATACACCTGCGTGTGAAGGGTTTGTGAATGGGCTGGAGGGGTCTGTGAGTACCAGACCCTAGCCCTAGAGCTCTACAGACATTAATGAAGACTTAAGTGGAGATATCTTACATTCATCTAATAAGACACAAAAACATAACGATATACTTCTCTCCAAACTGATCTACAAATCCAATGCAATTCTAATTAAAATACCAACAGGATGTTTGAAGTAATTTGAGATGATTCTAAAATTTATACTGATGAACCAAAATCCAAGAATATCCAAGACATTCCTGAAGAATAATAAGGTAGGAGAATATGCTCTACACCAAATATCAAGACATTATAATCATAATGCCATAGTAATTACAGTGTGGAATGAACGCGGGGATAGGAGTAGACCAGTGTAACAAACAGAGAGATGAGAAAACGATCCACACAAACTTGACATACGGCAATGATGACACTGCAGATCCATGGGGAAAGCATGGCTACTCCATAAACATGGCTGGAACAATTGGGATGTTCACATGGAAATATATGAAACTGCGGGGCCGGCCCGGTGGCGCACTGGATAGTGCGCCGCTTGGGAAGCGCGGCGGCGCTCCCGTCCGAGGGTTCGGATCCCACATACAGACCGGCTCCCGCTCACTGGCTGAGCGAGGCGCGGGAGCAACACCGAGGCTTGCGATCCCGTTGCCGGTCCCCGGTCCGGTACGGGGGCAACACTGAGGGTTGCGATCCGTTCGCGGACACAGAAAAAAGACAAAAGACAAAAAAAAGAAGAAATATATGAAACTGCGGGGCCGGCCCGGTGGCGCACTGGATAGTGCGCCGCTTGGGAAGCGCGGCGGCGCTCCCGTCCGAGGGTTCGGATCCCACATACAGACCGGCTCCCGCTCACTGGCTGAGCGAGGCGCGGGAGCAACACCGAGGCTTGCGATCCCGTTGCCGGTCCCCGGTCCGGTACGGGGGCAACACTGAGGGTTGCGATCCGTTCGCGGACACAGAAAAAAGACAAAAGACAAAAAAAAAAAGAAATATATGAAACTGCAATCCTACCCTCAGTATATGTGAAAAGACCTAAATGTGAAAGTAAAACGTAGAACATTTTTAGAAGAAAATATAGGAGACTATTACGAGCACCAAAAGGAAACTATTTTTTTAACCAATCATTTTTTAAGTGCTAATCCTTTATAAAAAATCAATAAATTGAAATATATTAAAATTAAGAATTACTGCTCATCAAGATTCCACAAAGAAAAGAAGATAAGCTACAAATTGGGAGAAGATAGTTATTATGAATAAACGCAAAAGGATTACTATTTAAAAGAACTCTTAAAAAATCAATAGAAAAACAGGAAAAAAAAAAGCAATAAACATAAAAAGATGCTCAACTTCATTATTAATTAGGAAATGCAAATAAAGACTATAAAATACCATTTCATATCAACTAGACTGAAAACAATTAAGAAGCCTAATTACATCAGTGTTGGTAGGGTATGGAACAGGCATTCTAATACACTGCTAATGGGAACGTAAACCTGCACAACTACCTTTGTAACAACTGGTCATTGCCACGTAAAGCTGAACATCTCCACACCTTATGTCCCAATACCAAAAAAACACATACAAAAATGTTCATAGCATCACTGTTTAATAAAAAAGGAAAGGACAGAGAGCGGAAAGTAGGGAGAAAGAAGGAAGGAAGAAAGGAGGGAGGAAAGAAAGGAACAAAGGGACCAACCAACAATGCAGCAACAGAAGAGTGGACAAATAATAGTTTACTCCTAAAAAGCAACTGTATATAACAGTGAAAATGAGAGACCTACAGCTATATGCAAAACAAGAATGAATCATAGAAATATAATTATTTCTATTATTTAGAGAAATAGGCAAGGCACAGAAGACTACACAGAGTATGATATACTTTTAAAGTTCAAAAATAAGCAAAGTTATACAATACATTATTTAGAAATACATACATGATATATAATAAACTTTTTCTTTAATCAAAAGGATGATAAATATACAATTCAAGGTAGTGGTTAACTGGGAGGGGACAAGAGACAGGAAAAGGAGCATCAAGGTAGCTTCAAAAATAATAGTAATGTTCTGGTTCTTAAGTTGGGGGGTAGATTTATTTTAAATTATTCTTCATAAATTACATATATATTATAGATATCAAATATTACAAAATGTGAATATTACCCTAATTTGTGAGGATATTAATATCATAAGTTTCAAAGACCCAAAAATATGCCATTTAAGTAGTAAAAACTCAGGACACCAATATAATTTATATTTCCAAATAACTAAAGGAACAAGAATGTTTTCCTTGATGGTATTTGTCTTTTTAAAAATTCTTACGATAGATCAGTTACCTATGTATGATAAGACAATAACATATTTATGTTCCTCAACATTAGTATTTAAATAGTCCATATACTTAAAGATAAACAAATGTTTGAAACATATTTTAAGTTTACCATAATGATAGTTCTCTAGATTAAACAGTAGATAAATGGTTTTTCAAAATAATAAAGGGAAATTAATTTCTAAAAATTTTTATCCAACTAATTTTTTTTTCTTTTCTGAATTTGGTAAAGAACATCATTACTCAGTTTTTAGAGAAGGAACACCTCAGTTAAATGAGCAATGGGAGCACGGTTTAAGTACCTGAATGTTTATAATGGCTTAAATAACTCAACAAAAGGGAGTAAGCTATAAGAATTAATAGTTAAAAAGAAATGCAATACAATTTCAATCTGTCTCACACACTTTATTATAAAAGTTTTTTTTTTTTTTTTTTAAATCAGTCCTTCTGAACGATAAATGCTGGTGAGGTTGCGGAGAAAAAGGAATTCTCATACATTGTTGGTGGGACTGCAAAATGGTGCAGCCTCTATGGAAAATGGTATGGAGGTTCCTCAAACAATTGCAGATAGATCTACCATATGACCCAGCTAT